GAGAGAGAGAGAGAGTGGTTAATGAAGTCAATGCAAGGAAAAGAGTATCTCATAAAAAACAAGTAAATGCATTAACATTAATAAATAACAAGAAGAGTTATCTAAAAGTATGTGTGTGGCTAATTAGCAACTATGATAGTTAACAACTAATGGTATAAAAAATGTTGAAGATTGGCATATTAAGGAGAACAAGGAAACCATCAACAAGTTCATAATCCATACAAATTTCTCCAAAGATGAAAGCAAAATAGTTGAAGGCATACCAAAGTATATGAATGGAATACAAGACTCTCACCTTACCCTTGACGATAACATCTTCGGCCTGAAGTTGCCTACACCTTTCCCATGCAAGATCATACTGAATTGACCGTAAACTCAAAATTAAGCTATCATCTGCATTCATCTCACCAATTATGACAAACTCTTCAACCAATCCTGGATATATTCCTGCCTCTGAAACATGCTTAATTTTGTGAATACATGCTTCTTGGACAGGTAAGTATGCAGAAGACTTGGCTGTTATGTCAACAAGTGCCCCATTCATATCTGTCATGAAAACTGTTCCCTTTACCTGGGAACAAAGAAAAGGGAATGAAGCTAGCAAATCCATATCTGCAAACAAAAGCACAAGGGCCCACCAATCTTGCTTATCATGCTTGAAGGTAAGGCGATTCAGGTATATGGTAGAATCAGGTAAAATAAAATCAACAAAAGTTCAAAATGCAGGAGAGAAAGTAAAAATTCTTCCCAATCACACTCAAAGATGAACCGTAAACAAACACTAGCCTGTTTCCATGAGTCATGTAATTTGGCAAGTTACATGACATCTATCAGATTCAGCACATACAAGAGTTCCAGCCACTGTACAGTTTTTTCATCATTAAGGTAAAACGAACCAGTTATTCCAAGAAAAATAGGTCAAATATTTACTGAATAATAAACTACAGAAACTGCCAAATGCAAACTAATAGCAACTAACAAACTTGCCAACTTTATGTTTCTCTTGTTAATTAGAAAAGAAAATGAAAAGAAAAGAAGAGAATGACCTAATCGAGCAACCATTGTAGACATCCCATAGCACTGGTTTATACTATTCTTATGCAAAAATTGCAAAAGAAATAAAAGGAATATTACCATTATTCAAGCTCTTACTCAATTGACCACAACTAGATGGGGGACAGGTTTCGAATTGGCATATGAATTCTAGGATTCATCAGACATCCAAAATTACCATCATACTTAGCAGCAACATCCAATTATTCTTGAAAACCGTTTCAATTAAGCCATATCATATTGCCAGTCATATTTGCAGGATAAACCATAGACTTTCTATCCACGTCCAATCTCTAAGAAGCTGAAGCTTCGAGCCTTCTTCAAATGGGAATCAAACCGAAAAGAAACTCGCGCCCCAAACATTACAGAGACCCACAGCAGGCGATGAGAGAAAGGCGAGACCTTGGTGCCGATTTCGGAGTCGAAGTCGTACTTCTCGAGGGCGGAATGGAAGTCCTCGACGGTGAAGGCGACGCCTTCCATGGGGGCGGTGCGGCAGCGGTCGTAGGCCTCCTCGAAGACCTCCTTCAGCTTCTGCCGCTCCTTCTGGGCCGAGGTAAGGGCGTAGGTGCCGGCGATGACGGCGGCGGAGCAGAAGGAGGGCCTGACCGGCGCCTTGGAGGAGGCGGCGGAGGAAGGCTTCGAAAGATGGGAGGAGGAGAGCGGCGGGCACCGAAGGCCGGCGAACTGGTGGTTCACGAAGCTCGCCATTGGCAGCGCTTTGGAGTCTCTCTATCGCCTCTCTAATCCAATTCCAATGGCGGAAAAGAGAACAGAGAATGGGATGCGTTGGGGGACACGACGGTTTTGTGGTGCGGGGACAGGTGTTTGGGTTTGGGTGCAATTTGAGTGGACATGCGGGATTGGGTCGAACCCAAATCAGCTTCTGTGGGATCGAACTCATACCACCAAATGAGATGAATCCTACGCGAAGTTTAACACATCAAAGGTTTCATTTCAGTTGTAAAATTCAGTATGATTCTAAATTTTATATATAATTTTCTTTTATAATAAATAAATAAATAAATAAGACGACGATATGATCTTACGATAAATTATCAAGGTATTTATTATCTGACATATTTCTCAGATTAATGTATATGCGAAGACTATTTCGTGAAAAAGCTCGAGTTTTATAATTTTTTTTATAGTGTTTCTTTATTTTTATGCTTTAAAATTTATTTTCTTTGTAAAAAATAAATTATGTTTTAAAAAGATCATCGATCTGTATTAAACTGATCTAATATTTCTATATTACAGTGTTTTGGATCTATATTTTTTTGATAGAATTAGTATATTATTTGATTACTAAACAAAAAACACTGCCACTTCATTGAGAAATACTATAAGTAGATAATATAGCTCATTATTTTTGTTATCATTCCTTCATAATAAATTATTATAAATATTATAATACTTTTTAAAGTATTTAGAATCAAATTTAAATCAAAGCAAAAAAAAAAAGAGTCTTTATCATGGTTTATTTTGAAATATGTAAATTCCTTCATAATTTTTTATTATCATTACTTTTAATGAAAAAATTATAAGATTTTTAAAAATTATAGGCTTAAATTTAAGGTTACATTAAAAAAAGAACTTCTTTATTTTGAAGAACATCAAAATAGTTTCAATTAAAATCAATTAAAATTCTCAAATAAAATATTTTATAAAACCTTAATATAAATAAATATATATAATAAGGTTAAATATTAATGTTTATGAGAATTTGAATTGATCAAGACTAAGTTATACTGTTTTTGGTTCAATAACAAAAAACACACTTAATAAGATTTTTATTTTAATATCAAAGAGACCAAAATCTCTCATCAAATGTTTATGAATGATCTAATGATTATTTTTGGAGATGATAAGAGAAAGATTAGCAATATTGTGGGAGCCAATATTGCTAAAGGTTGAGTTTGTCACCGATGAGAGATGATGCTTAAATTCAACAAAATGGAGACAATGAGATAACATGAGTGATATTTGGTGGTAGCATTTTTAGGAGTATTCAAGAAAACATCATATAAAATTGATTAGGATAAATATCACATGAACAATAATGACGTGCTTTATCTTATGAATGATAAACATGTGAATAAACTTGAAATATATTTATCATATTCAAAAAGTATGCATGCTAATGCATATCTACTTTGGCCAACATATCTATGTAGATTTACAACATACCAAGAAAGAACAGCAAACAAAATTAGTGTTTATCGTAACAATGTAAATTATATCTATGACAATTATTATAGCAAACATCAGCATGATTTTTTAGAGTGCATGCTTGGGATTGGCTCATAAGGATAAAAGAAGTTCCATGTTAGGATTTAAATGGTGTTGCACTTACTTACCACTTTGCTCCAATGAAGCTGAAGAATGCAACTAAAGAAGAAATGCCAAGTTAAAGGTTATACATAGTGATGAATGTATTATATATATGAGGTTGTATGCTTGGGTTAGTGAGTGAAAAGTTTAGAGAATTCCTTGGAAATAAATGCCTAGTTGATGAAGCACAAGGATCAAAGAGAATAAGGATTTAATTCAAGATTTCGTTTTTTTTATAATATTTATTATAATTTAGTAAAATTTTAATTACTTTTTTAAACACCTAAACTGAGGTGATTATATATGGAACATGATGATATCTATGGTTCTATGGCTTGTATCATGATGTGTTCTTGTAATATGATTAGTCCTCGTTTTAGTTATGATATAGTGTTTTATGAGAAGGTGTGTGGTGTAACGATTGATATGAAATATTAATGAGTAGCTATTATATATGAATATATATATTTTAATGTTAGTTGTTGATAGTTTAAGAATATCATATAAAATTAATTTGTATAAATATTATGTCAACGATTGTGATAAATATATCTATGGATCATAAATCTATGACTCGACATAGAAATATATGTATATAAGTATATTTGGTAGCCGCTTTTTGTGTAAACATTATGTGAACAATAAATTGAGGTGCTTCATCTCATGAGAAATATATTTATGAATGGTAAAACTGTGACTCCACATGTGGTTGAATATGAAATATATTTATCATATTCAAAAGTATGTATACTAATATAGATTTATTACTGTTTGATGTAAACAATGTAAATTATATGTATAACAATTATTAGAGCGAGAAAACAGCACTTTTAGATATCTGATAGCTATAGGGTTTTCTTGGTTCCATATGTCACTTCGTCTTCCTCGTCGGACTCGTTGCGGTTGCTTGATGAACATGCGTGGCTTAAGGTTGGCCTGGTTGGGCCTCATGCATAGGACTGGCAAAGACGGGGGGACTCGGGAACATGGTCAGACCAACAGCTGCAATGGCTCCTTCCTCGTGCTCTGCTTCGGTCTCCTTTCCACTTGCATCTCTCGTCTTCTTCGTCTCCCTCCCCTTGCCCCATAGGACCAAGTAAAGCCCTCCAACTATGACGACAGACCCCGCGACACTGCAATCCAAAGGTTAGATGAGTTGCGATCGGGACCGAGCACTTGATCCAATAGCTGATGTGCGACTCATGGTGTGAGATAATTCATAGACGGATCACTTCCAAGACCAGTTTACCTTCCAACGTACTGCTTCTCGTCGAGGATCGCCCACCCGAGGACGGCGACGACAACCAGCAGCAGTGGGCTGAACATTGAGACGAAGAGGGGACCTCTCTTCTGTAAGCACCATGACATCAGTGCGAAAGCCAGACCTGAGCCTACCAAGCCCTGAGAGGTTGAAGCCGAGCATTTAGATGCTAAGTCACGTCCAGATTTCAATGAGCTGTCAATCGAATGTTCGCAATAAGCTCACAATGTAAAGGGACGCAGCAAGCCGGATGTTCCAACCGAGCGCCCACGCCGAGAGCCTCCTCCTCTCCACGGCGGCCGCAACGACGATGCATTGGACGCTGGCCATGAAGCACATGATGGCGGAGCTCGTGTAGGGAGACGAGAAGCTCTGGCTCATCTTTGCCTGTTATGACGCGGTGGATCGAAAAGGGAATGATCAGCAGCATCGACAGCTTTGAAGAGGCGTTTGGAGATCCAGAGGAGCTTCCATTACCTGGATGATGAACCATATGGCCCAGGCGAAGCAACTGGCGATGACGAGTACGGCGCCGAAACCCATTCTCTGGTAATCGGAGCCGGCCTCGCCGGTCGTCATCCTCTCGGCGTATCTCCAGTGGAGGGGGGATTGCCACATCTTGATGAGGCCGCCTCTGTAGAACGTCATCAGCATGGAGCCACCAACGCAGAGAACCGTTCCTACCACCTTGGCCTGACCGGCCACCGTTCTGATCCCCACCGTTTCCATCCTGCGATCGAGTCAGCTAACGCTCACGACGTGCGAAAGAAGAAGTAATCGGGTGCTCCTTTCCGTCAAGTACCTGAACGGCACTGCGATGACGAAGGTGATGGCCGGTAGCATGTTACTGAGGGCGCACGCGATCGTCGGCGAGGAAAACTTGAGCCCCACAAAATACAAGATCTGGTTGGACGTGGCGCTGCGTGACATGCAACACCGTCAGATACGAGAGCTTCGAGCCCCGCAACTGTGGCAGGCGCGGCTTACCCGAAGACTGAGCACAGGAATATTTGGAAAAGGACTTTGCCTGTGATCTCCTTGGAAGCTTTTCTGCGCCCACAGCGGTCGACAAAAACACGCTCAGATGATGCCAAAGAAGAGGAGAGTTCGATGTATCTGCACTACCGCTCGAGGAAGAAGGCGATGGGGGAGAGGAAGATGGTGGCGACGATCTGCCGGTAAGCGATCATGACGAAGGGGCTCATGCCGTCGTCCATCGCCAGCTTCGACAGCACATTCAGGCCGGCGAATCCCACTTGGACGAAGACCATGGCCAACGTCGGGGTGCAGTCGCCTCCCATGCTCCCTCCCTCCTATGATCCTCCTCTTCTTTCTCCGTCGTCCTTCCTTCCGCACAACGATTCAGCGAGAGGAGACAGGAGCTTTATACGACGAGATCGATCATGGAGCAGTCCCTGACGTGCTGCAGCAATATCCGCTTTCGAACAGTGAGTGATGGTATCTTCTTGCGTGGTTTCTGTGGGACTACGACGAGCTCTGGGCCATGGAGTCTCTTTCCGCTGAATCTTTGGTGTGGGACAAGCAGCATGACCTCGGTGGCGTTGCTTGGGAGTGGATGAATACGCGGAGAAAAGCAATGAACGGCTTGCTTGCTTGCACTGCCTCTTCTTCCACGCCAGGACAGGGATGAGGGAGGTGGAGGACCCGCAGTGGGTCCGATCGAGTTTGACCATCTTTGACTAGGAAATGGACAGATTATTGAGGTGTAATTTACACAAAACCCTCATCCCATTTCGTCCATCAAAAGATAGTCTAATGTTTTTTTGTGTAAATTGTTGGGAAAAAAATGCTTGATTAATTAATTATTTGGAAGCAAAAAAGATTCCTTTTTTTTTTGTAGACTAAATAATGAGACAATAGATTTACAAGGAAAATAAAATTTGTAAGTGTTTTTGGGAAAATCATGAATAAAAATCAGATGAAATTGATGGCATTATAAGAGTTCTTTCTAATTAACTATTAAGACCAATTATTGGTTCACTAAATAATAAATCAAATGAGATTATCAAAGAGAATATTTATATCTCACAGATAGATAGGATTATCAGAAAATTAAATGAAAGAATACATTATCTTTTATTTTGTAGAGAATAATGATAATGGAATTTATTTATTTTTTCTTTATCTTTTATTTTGCTCAGTGATGCGTATTGAAAATTAAAGATCTTACATGATTACATTGACACAATGTTCTAATTGTATTATCATTACAAGGAACAAAGGGAGACATGGAGAGATTTAAGTTGGTAGAATCTTACCACAAAAGATACAAATATAAAATGTTAGTTGAATCTAAACTTGTTCCAAAAGCTTGACCAACTTATATCCAACTCATCTTTATTGCTAATGCATTGGCATTGCAGCAACTCATTAGATAGGAGACATGATCTTTGTCTCAAAATAAAATAATTATATCTTGAAGTATCTCAGGAGATTTCTCCATTCCAAAGGCATTATGTATCATTTTACACTCCCCACAAAATGTTGATTTATTTCCCCCTTTTATTATAGTAAGAAGAAGTTAAATACAAAGAAGGAGACCTCAGAAAGATGCAGACAGACAAGATTGTTGAAATGGAAGGCTCAAATCAAAATAGTAGTACCTGAATGGATGCAACACTTTGAGGAGAGTTTACCTCTGTTCTTAGCTCTCCCTGAGCTGCAGCAAGATGCATGCTGTACTTCTTTGTGTCAGTCAAGTGTATCATATTACTTGCAAGCAGTAAAAGTGCAAAGTAGATCGATCACCTGTGGAGTTCACCTGCACTGTTCTATGCTTGCAAGCGTCGCTGGTTTGAACCACATACAAGAAAACATTCTAAGCAATACTCTTTGCTGCGTTCAGGCATCTGTGATGATTATACGAAAGATGCATGCCGCTGCAGTACAGTACCAGTGGAATCTTTCTCCAAGCTCCCGAGGAACACACAGGAGAGAAAGAGCACTGGTTGGGACAGGAAAAAGCATGGCAGGTCCACAACAGTCATCCATCATCTGTGACATGGGAATACTTTGAGGTGTCCCAAAATGCGGGGCAACCAAGACGAAGCCCACCTCAATAATGCATCCCTGCCTCCGCCTTCTACTCTCCATGAGCCGCTAACATAGAACATGAGGGGTTTCGAGAGGAACCTAACAGTGGGAGGGTGCAAATGGATGGGGTTTAGATCATGCACCGGCGCGCACAATCCTCCTACCACTATTCCCATCGTTGTTGCTGCCCATCGCTCAAGAGAGAGAGAGAGAGATCGCTTTCGGTTCGTCAAAAGAACTTTTCTTTTTGCCTCGCCTTCACCACTCCCGTGAGTTAAGAAGCTGCTCGTCACTGATATCTTCTCTCCTTTTTCTCAATTCTCCATTCAATAATGCATTCATGATTGATGTATTGGTTCATGAACTTCTTCAGGTGCAAATAGCTTTATCTCACGCGCCCACAGCCACACTAAAAGCGGTTCCTTTTGCCGAAGAACAAGGTGGAATATCTCTGAACCTGGAAATGCCATTTGAACTTTCACTGAAATATCATGTTAATTGGTCCAATCAGAAGCAATTCAGCTTTGAGCTTTGCACGTTTGACTCTTTTTCCATTTCATTGGGAGAATGTGTTGATTACACACAGCTAACTTCCATAGCTTCACTCCTTTCATTGAGCATTTCTCGTCACTATATTACAACCTTACTGTTACATTGAGTATGATTCTTGGTGTACCATTTAACTTCCTCGATAGCACTTATCTGAATCAATGTCAATAATCGATTGAGGTAAGCCCTCCGACAAGCACGACACCGGAGGAATCGTCAGCGTCTCTGTCGCGCCGTAGGCATTCCAGCAGAATGGATCGGAGATGAAGTCTCCTTGGGCAGGAAGCAGCTCCACATCCGATAGAGTGATGTTGGTGCAGGGAACAGAGTCGCTGCATCCCAAGTGGATGGGCGGACTCCTAACGTCGTATGTTCCCCTGATGCCGGTGTAGGATACATCTGATACGTAGACCGCAGAAGTCTGGTTCAGGCATGACTTGCTGAGGCAGTAGAACTGGTCGATGATGATGGGGTTCCTCACGGTGTCCATGCGTATGTTTTCGAAGCTGATGGATGAGACTGATCCCGATCCACCTTGCCATGTCTTGATCCTGACACCATTGTCTGAATGCTTGATGACTGCGTTCCTCACTGTTATGTTTGCCACACAGGCCCGAGTGTTCTGCTTTCCAAGGCTCCCGATGCTGAAGGAGGGAGACAAAGCAGCTCAAGCTTGCTTAGGGAGAAGATGAGTGGGGGTAAGCGATGAAGGAAGGTCTCGAGAGTACCTGATACCATGGCTTGGGCCACAGGTTACGTTTACGATGCTTATGCCGACGCTACCAGCTCCGATGGACACACAGTCATCCCCTGTTCATCGGCAAAATGCAGCATACATAAGGATTCCTGTGATGTGGACGTGGAAGCAACTTTGAGATGATGAGCTCACCATTAGAGATGACGGAGTTGTAGATTCCGACCAGCTCGGTGTTCTCCACATGGATGCCATCGGTGTTGGGGCTAAGAGCAGGTGAGCTTATACAGATTGTGTCAATGGTGACGTTCCTGCAGTTGTCGAACCGGAAGTGGAACTGAGGGCTGTTTTGGATTCTGAGCTCGCGTACCGTGAGATTTGAGCTCATGAAGAACCTCAGAGCCTGAGAAAACGAAAGCTTAGTTTGTAGCATTCATTGGCTTTACTGAAACGAGAGGTAAATCCAGTTGAGGTTACCACAGGACTATCACAAGTTCCAGGCAATGTCGTGCCATTTGGCCCCTGCAATGTCATAGGAAGAGTGAGATTAGATTCTTGGCATCGAGTTCCTCTGTTCTTCAAGCTCGGGAAAAGGAAACAGGATCTCTCTCCGTTGCTACTTCTTTTGTGTCTCACAGGTGTTCGTTCATGTATACCTTGTGAGGTTTGCACGGAAGGTTCCACCACTTCTCTCCTTTTCCATCGATGAGTCCACCTCCTTGTAGCTTCATCCCGTTGACTCTGTAGAACACAAGCCACTGCCGCCGGCTAATGCTCTGAGGCCATTCGTCCGGACCATCGGGTGGCGTAATTGTTCCATCGACCTTGTTGTAGATGAGCGTCGGCTTCGTTATTAGACTCGAAGGGAACCAGGGAAGAATTAAGATGAACTGAGAAACCATGGCGTACCTGAAACGTGAGCTCACTCCGACAAGGCCCGGCGAAGATGGTCGACTGGATCTTGAAGGTGTAGCCCTGCGGAAGAAGGATGAGTCCTGGCCCTCCTTGGCAAGCAGCCTCCCACGCGCTCTTTAATGCTTCGGTGTCGTCGGAGACTCCATCGCCTATTGCTCCGAGGGCACGCACGTCGAGAACAGCGGTGGAGTTGGTGGAATTCCAACCGTGGTTGCCATCGATAGGCTCTGGAGGAGGAGGACGAGGAGGCTGTCCACTAGTGGAGTTTGTAGAGCTCAGCCCAGAATTCCCACGGATGGCAGGCTCAGGAGCAAGTGCAGGAAGACGACGGATGAAACTGGGAGAGGGAGGCTCCGCCATTGGAGGTAGAGCAATGCTGTACCTCAGACGCTTCATATGAAGACGAGCTCTTCCATATGCAGGAGTGCAGCAGAAGGTAGAGGAGATGAAGACGAGAAGTAGGAGAATCCTCGTTACTTCCATTTGTGGGTTTAGCCTACGAACAGTGACAAATGGGCAGGAACAAATCGAAGATCTCGTGGCTATATATACACAAAGCCAGGCTCTCACTGTCCAAGAAGACGATTCCAATCCACTTGTTGACGAGATGAAGCTCCGTGAACCGAATGAGGCCTACTCGGAGATCCTACGGCGGCGGGAGGTTGTCGCCGTCTTAGCAGCTGCATGCGCCTAATGGGAGGAGACTGCACGCGAGCAAAGACTTGGAAATGGGCTTAAAGTGGATCGGTGAGGTGAGGGATTGAGAAACGTGATGAAAAGGATAATAAACTCAAAACAGTATGATCATAAAAAAGTATGATATAGATCTAAAAATCCAACTCAAATTGTCAAGAATGGGATTCGAACCCATGCCATTTCAGACTACCATCTGAAACTAGCGCTTTTACCAACTCGGCCATTTTGACTTTATGTTTATTTAGCCTCCTAAAGTAAATTAGTGAAGTGAGGGATTGAGAAACGTGAAAAGGATGACAAACTCAAAACAGTATGATCATAAAAACATATGATATAGGCCTAAAGTGCCAACTCAAGTTGAGAAACGTGATGAAAAGGATAATAAACTCAAAACAGTATGATATAGGTCTAAAAACCAAACTCAAATTGTCAAGAATGAGATTCGAACCCATGCCCTTTCGGA